AAAAAAAAAAAAAAAATATGATGTATGCGAGGGTGGTGTTTTACCTCGTCGGATTCATCGCCGTCCACGCGAGGGTCAGTGCCGCCCATTTCGACATCGTTGTCTTTGATCTCCTTGCGTTTACCCATTGTGATCAGTACACTGATTACGGCGTGAAAGTATGGTCAATTCGTGGGGTATTGGTTTGTTGGAATCCGTCGTTTTGGGCTTCATCAGCGGCCGATAAAAGTTGCTCCGCTCTCGCTAAACCTTTTCCGTACATTTTATCGCGGGGGTTAAACAAAGTATATCTCTTGAGCAATAACAGGTCAACAAGCCAATATAACATCAAAGTGATACGGGGTATATAGAACATATTTGTCTAATATTTCCTCTAGCAGGTTCACATTCAATCGTAAACACATTCCATCATCATCATCGCAATCCAAGATGTCTATAAATGCAAACCATGCCCAAAAAATCAAACATCACTTTCCACCTCCTCAACAGTAGGCACCTTATCCAACTCCACCCCATAAAACCCAGCAACAAGCTGAATACACTCCCAAACAACCTTCACATCCTCCATGCTGACCCCCAGCCTCCTCGTCCCGCGAATATGCCAATGCGTCTCATTCTTCAGATTCTGGCTCATGATAGCCGGCAACACCACCATCTCCGTATCAAGATCATCCAAGACCCCCCGATCTGACAAAAACAACCCATACGTAATCTCCTTCGACAACCACCCGAAGTCCTGATGCGCGCGGAACAAATCCAGCGTCCCGGTCGTGTTCCGCGCATACAGCTTCTCCAGCCACGCTACGCCGCGGTCATGGTTGGCCTGGTCGCATTGCCAGTTCTCGCGCGTGAAGGTGTAGTCCTTGTCTTCTTCGCGTTCGTATTTGCTGATTGCGAGGATGGCCTCGATGGGCTTGCACACGCCCACTATGATGATGCTTTTGAAGAGGGCCTCGCGGAGGCGCCGGATCAGTGCTTGTCTAGCTGATGGGGTGCTGTAGGGCGCTTGGTTGATTAGGTGCAGGTAGAGCTGGTCGCAGCGTTCCGGGTCCCGGTGGGCGACTATTGTGGATATGGCGAGGATGTACCATTTTTCCGGGGGTAGCGAGGTCTGCGCAAAGCGGGTAGAGAGGTCGTCGAAGAGTTGGACGTAGCGGGGGTCTGGTTGCGGGGTTGGTGTTGGTGTTGATGTTGATGACATCTTGCGAGTTTGGGGTTGGAGTGCTGGGTTGGGGAGGTTGCGAGTAGGGTGTGCGTGGCTACTGTAGGTACGTGTTGCTGGTGACGTTGTAAAGATATTGAAGTATTGGGGTTGTCGTTCGGGCACCGAGATCGGACGTGGGTTGTTGAGAATCAATGGTGGTGGTGGTGGTGCCCACCTACTAGTGCTAGTAGTATACAAGTACACTTGTCTTGCATATCGACACATGATCTGTAATGATTAATTGGTTAGAAGATCGTCAGTGCGAAATGACGGCGGAAACATGACAAAGCAGCGAAACATGCCGAATTATGGATTTTCTTACGAGATTCCATATCCGTCTAATCTCATAGATCCGGGAGTGGAAGTCAAAAACCAAAACAAACCCACGCAAGCCCTACCCAGTCCCCCCAATCGAGGAAAAGAGAACAACAGAAGTGCTTCCAGACCAATCCCACCTATGATTTAATCATGTCAAGTGCAAAGCGCAATCCCACGATAATTGGAGTACCTCTTCCAGATATTGTTGCAATGCGCCCCACCTATGATCTCAGCGACCTCAGCCATGACATCACACCAGGGTATACAAGACAGTATAAAGAATGCATCGTCCTGACCTTTATTCCCAATTCAATGCAATCAACTCTTTAATCTGAATTATTCTCGAGAGTCCTACTTTTGCCTCTTGCTTGCTCTTTTCAAATTTCTACAATCAAACTTCAATCGATCAAAATGTCGGGCCAATCTAGCGTGGGCAACCGCAGCCTCTACGAAGCAGGCGACCAGCGCAACGTGCCTCAGTCCGTCCTCAACCAGCAGGACCGCTACAATGAGGGCCAGAAGCACAGCCATAAGAACTTGGATCCGAGTATGTCCTTCGCTGATTGCTCTCCATTGATGGGATGTTGCTGCTGAATAGTGCTGACTAGAATGCAGAGGACGAACGCTCCATTGCCAACAAGCTCGCTGCTCGTGAGAAGCAGCCTGACCCTAGTCATCATCACAACTATGATGTCAATCCTGAGGCGGAGATTAGCAAGAAGGATTCTACTAAGCCGGTATGTTTCCCTCTTGTAATGATTGTCGAAGATGGCTGTAGCTGACTTGCTTGTGACTAGGCCAAGATCCATGGCAACGAGCCGTCAAAGGGAGCCAAGATTGACCAGGAGCTCAAGGAAGAAGACGAGCAGAGACTGAGGGAGAAAGGTATCAAGAAATAAATTCGCCCTGGAGGCTATGGTGTAACAACCAAAGGTTATGCTTCTTCGTCCACAAGCTGGTTTGAAATGGCATCTTCTGTAATTTTAGCATGTACCGGTTGACGAAATAATGGGAATTGATCAGCATTAACGTGCACGTTTGCGTACATTTCTATATCCTCTGCTATTATGCAACATTATGAATGGTATGTATATACATATTGTAATTGGCCACGTCGTCGTCTCGTAAACAGCGTATTGCGTCCCTTGGTCTCACAAATAGGCGCTCACAACCCAGCAAGTGTCGTGTCAAAAGGTAATCTATGCCAGCCTTCGTGATAAGGATTGTCGAGCCAGACACTATGGTGGTAGCGGCTGTAGGTGGGACCCGGACTGACTAGAGTGGTATTCACTGGGACCAATTTAGCCTTCGTCAACAAACTTAGGGTCGTCATCATGTGGTTCCGCAAAGACTGTGTTCCAGTAGCTCTCGACTTTCTCACACACGCCCGTTTTGCCCTCCCACGTTCTGAATTCTATTTCGGGACTACAGCTGACCCATTTGATCTCTTCCCAGTAGGCTCTCTCGATGTCAATCCCAAACCGGTGCAGGACGTCTTCAGGGGCAGTCCACGCGCGCCCCTCTGTGCCATCGGGTCGAAGGGTGGGAGTAGTTTCCCAATTGTACCCAAAGACATTCTCTGCAGGATTGAACTTGGGGTAGTTGGCATGGATGAAAAATACACGAGGAGGCTTGTCCACCGAGGGGTCCTGTACTCGCCATTTGCCCTGGCTCGTCAGCGCATGGTCTCCAATAGGGTCCGATTGCGCCATTGCTGAACCAGAAAGCCCTTCCGGCGTTTGATGACCGAGCGCCTGAACCCTCTCGCTGACCGCATAGAAAGGTTCGCCCACTGCAGTCGCAGCCTGCAGGAACGTTTCTTTGTCGCCCTCACCCGGTGCACCCTGAGACAATAAGCGGAAGTAATGCGACGGTCCGTAGTAGTTATAATAGGCAGCAAGTAACAGTGTGAGATAGTGCGTCTTTTTGGAAACGAGAAAGATACCGGTCTCCGAGGATTGTCGCTCGGTCATCGGAGGCATCGGTTGCTGGGAGATGTTATAATATGCCGGAGAAACCGACGACGCCCAGAAATCGGGCCAAGTCACTAAACCGGTGGACGTGAAGGGTTCATGGTTGAGCAATATTTCGGGTTTGTCCATTGGAAAGCAATCGGCATCCATCCAAATAATCTCCTCGAACGAAGAAAAGAGGACCGCAAAGACCTTTAGTTGGTAATGTTGGATGACATCTTTGCCTACAACATCGGAGAGTATTAGGCACCGCGCGCCCATTTCCGGGAGGACCTTGTCGCAGATTTTCTTTTCATACTCGCTTGCATCCTTCATGTACACCTCCACAGGCAAAGTTGACCCTGTGCGGCGTAGCATCCGCAAGGATGACAGAAATACGGGAAGATAGGAACCCCCGGCCGTCGTAACTATACCCCTAGTTCCGGGAGAATGGGCGGGACGCAACTTCTTCGCCGTCCTGATATCATTGAGATAATTCGCATGTGCCTCTGTCAGCACGTCGAGATCATTCTCGCCGAACACGATCAAGTCAGGACGGGGTTCAACTGTTGTGGCATTGAAATGGACTGCGCTCGCAGAATCCTGAAGCGTGGGGGACGGGCAATTTGGTGCATGTGCATCTAAGATTGACCTTAGCACCTTCCAAAAGGCAATCTGACGTTCGGTGAGAGGAACTTCAAAGGCAGTGCTAGGAATCGTCGAAGCCGGAGGCGGGGTCCAATATAAATAAAAAGTACAAATGAGAATTAATGCGGCTGTCGCTGAGAGGACCGTCCTCAGCCGGCCTGGCCGAAAGATTGACATTGCTATGTGTGACAGTCGGTTGAAATTGATGGCTGAGAATGCCGTTATAATCTATCTCGGGTGTCTACACAATGTGACCCAATGGGTGCGGTGCAAACACGATACGCCCTAACACTTGACGAGAGAACCTCGATCGCTGATTCCAGATAATAGCAGTCTTAGTTAAAAGACGAATGGCAGCATGACAGGCGACCTTGGCCGCAACGAGGTCGTTTATTCGACCGTCTCAACCCAATTCAGGAGGTTCTTTTTGCGCGACCCCAACGGAATGATGTCGATCCGATGTGGCCGAGGCAGTCTTTGTCGAACAATTCACACTGAATTAGCGGCAGACAGGCGTCATAGGGGTTTGACACTATTGCCGAAGCTTCGAACAATCAAGGGCAGTAGACTTGAATGTAGGTTGTTGCCTTCAATCACTGCAAAATCTCTCCACAGTTGAAATCTGATGTATAGACAATGAAATTCAAGAAAAAAAACAAAGACTTCCCCTGTGTGGAAGGCGGTGGCAGAAAAAGGCACATCGAGATCCCAAGAGGCCAACCGTATCACACTAACGCAGTAGTACGTCCTCCGTACCTAATGCTGATGATACTCCTTATTCAAGGTTCTGAGAGCGCATAACTTAAGTTTCTCAGGCTCCACCCCCTTCGCAGCTTCTTTCCGTAAAAGACCAGGGTTTTAATTTTGCTCTCCGGCCGCCGAGATGGTATCCTTGGGAACTTCTAGGCGCTTTCCAATCAATGAATGCTCATAGGCCGAGGGACAAGCTTTGCCAATTTTAGAATGGATATCATAACATAATATGTGGATATCTCCAAGGAACCTAGGCTTTTCCTTGTGAAGAGTGGATTATAGGGTAAAGCCAAGAAGATCTGGGAGAGCCGAAGATCGAAGCAGAAGATTCAGAACGAAATACGACAGAACAATCTGAAGAATTGCTGATCCTCGAGAAGATACTTTCAGCCACAAATTTAAAAGTATTACGGAGTAAAGAAAACCCAAAACTCTGCAGACAAACGGCTCTTAATTCCCCCTGGTAACCAGCAAAGTTCCTTCCTTTGAGGCTAGAGAGTGGGTCTTTCGCTGGTATTGCCGGCAGATCTGTGCAACGGGAACAGTTCCAAAGAATTGCTTCAAGTTTGCACAACACAAGAAGCTTTGCACGTGACGGCACATGATTACTGATTCTCTCGCATAGCGAACCGTCCCTGGGATTAGACCAAACACTTTTCTCCCCCTTTGTACTATCATCGTCCTCTGGCTTGGCTGCGTCATCATTTTAGTGTGTCGAGACTGGCCGCATTCCTTAATAGGGACTCAGGTCAAGTAGCACCACAGTGAGGTCCAGTCTAAAAGTCCGAGTGGCAAACGCTGAGACTCGGTTCGCGTCGTCATAGAATTGGGGCTTTTTAATTTGATACTTTTCCGTGACGAGAATTCCCGAGTTAATCCAGTCAATATCACTTATCTCTTCCTGGTTAGTTGCCAAATTTTCGTTTCGGCTCTACGATCAACTAGGTGATATTAAAGGGCGGGCGAAGCCGCAGCGATCGTCCCTTATCGTCCGTCTCTAATTCCGCGTGGTTAGCACACCCGGGCAAAACGAGAAACACCCCAAGACACCGGTCGCTGGGATTTTGAGGCTAAACTGCTCATTACTACAATCCATTGGATTTATTTCTTCTTCCTTCATCTCCCCACTCGCTTACTCGACTCTTCTCGCCTTAGCTTTCCGACCTTAGCGGTTGCTCGTCGATCGCTGTATCATCTATGGCACCCCGCAACGCGGGTCTTCTCCGCCATTCCGCCTCTCCTGACCCTGACCAGTTAAGCCATTTAAGACTATCGGTTCGATAGCGATAGCTGCTCGCCCGGGTCCTAATATGGAGCCGGCTTCTAAAGCGCAAAACCGTAAAGCTACCTCAGCCACGGATCAAGCCCCGCGAAAGAGACGCAAGCGGACTGTCGTTACTGGCGCAGCGGAGGATTGCTTCACCTGCGCCCGACAAGGATTCTCCTGTGATCGGCGACGCCCTTACTGCTCTCAATGCCTTGATCATGGTCGGGAATGTTCGGGTTACAAGACCAAGCTGACCTGGGGTGTTGGTGTTGCTAGCCGGGGTAAGCTTAGGGGGTTATCGCTTCCGGTGAGCGGGTCGCAACCAGCTGCGACGCCCTCAACCGCACCTTGTCCAGCAGGCCCACACGAATCACCGTCTATATCACCATCGCCTTACAAGTCCACACCCTCTCACACAGCTACGACCTCATCAACGACTTCACCTACGTCTCAAGAACAGCAGCGGCCTCCATTTGTATCTGAAACACACGGGAACATAATCTGGACAAATAACGCTTCCAACACCCAACAATGGCCCACGGGAAGTCCACTCTCAGTCCACCATCGCCCGTGGAGTAAAACAGGGACCCACAGAACAGATGTCTCACAAGGCATAGCGAACCTTGATGTACGGCCACGCTTTCAGGAGAGGCCAGGCCTATCCACGGGGTGTCATAACATGATAAGCACAACAAATGTCTGGTCTAGTCAGGCGCAGGTGCTATCAACGATGCCACAGTGGCAACACCCGGGGAATGCCCCGGAAACTGAAGCAACCGAGGTGGTTGAGGAGCAGCACGAGCGAGAAAGTACAGGCAGTCCTCCTCTACGCGTAGAAACTTGCCATTCGCCGTCGCTATCACAGCTGCTTCTAGCACGCTCTGTTGGACGTACCCCACGACTCAGATATTTAATCAGCTATTACGCTGAAGTCATAGCGCCGATGATCGTTGCTTTCGACGGCCCAGCAAACCCATTCCGCACTTATGTTCTACGCCTAGCACAGGAAAGCTTATCACTTCAAGAAGCCATCGCTACGTTATCTACATGTAACATACGGCAGAGGCATGAGCGGAGGATGAGGCCAACGGAGCGGTCCCTTCCAGCACGCTTATCATCGTTAGCCCATCGCGTCTTGACAGACGAGGCGTTCCGAGATGAATACGGGGTGTCAAGGCCTGAGGGGTTTGCTCGAGAGGAGCAATACCATCGAGGCATGGCTGTCAAGGCTCTGAATATGGAGTTGGCCGATCCGCGTGAAAGACTGTCGGATTCCGTCCTCGCAACATTGCTTGTCCTTTGCTTGTTTCACATGTGTGATACTGGCGTCGCTCAATTCAAAACCCAGTTCGCTGGGGTGACAAAGTTATTGGCAATCCGAATGCGCAGCTCTCCGCAAATGTCGGAGGAGTTGAAATGGTTCGTTCGTGTGTTCACCTGGTTTGATACGATGACAGCTACCACCAATGATCGCGAGACGCAGCTTCGCGGTGCTTGTTTAGATATTGCGGCAGTTTCAGACGGTGAGTGGGGGCTGGAGAATCTTGCAGGTTGTGATCCAAGCCTGTTCAAATTCATTGCGCAGCTCGGTCGTTTGAATCTTTTGAGTCAAGACCAGCAAGTCAAAGCGCCGGGACTTGTGGATATATCTGTTCCGTCTTCGGCGCCTCCACCATCGATGACATATTTTTACTCATCTTCTTCGTTGAGGTCAGATATACCTGCCGGCAGCAACACTCATTCGCATCCGCTACCCTGTCTACCACAATCGAGCGACCCATCAAGGCGACCGTCATCACCAGCGTTTTGGGCAGAATGGTATTCGTTACGGCAAAAGCTTGAATCATGGCGTCTCCCCCGCCAGGATAGTCGACATTTTGGTGGTGTCCCCGCGTCTACTACAAATGCATACATTTCGCCACCTTCATCCCCGTCATCTCAGGCCGTTGTTGCCCCTCAGAACCGCGAGGATGTCTTTCATATTTCTGAATCATTCCGCCATGCCGCGATTCTCTATACTGAACGACTTGCGTATCCAGATTTGCCATCCAATCATCCCCGTATTCAATTACTCGTGAACTACGCGATGCATCATATCTCACTGGTTAAGTCGGACGTGTACCTATTATGGCCGCTTTTTATCACTGGCGCCGAGTGTGTGGTTGAAAGGCATCGTACATTCATCAGAGAGCGCTGCAAGGACCTTTCCAAAGATTCTGGATTTCTAAATAACCTCTCATGTCTCGAGTTGCTCGAAAAGATATGGGCAGAAATCCCTACCGCGGCCGATGTTGGCGATCACACTGATCGTGCATCACGCGGCACATACGCTGGCGCATCCGAAGACGTTGTGTCAGCCTTTGATGATAATTTGCCTTCCTATAGCGAAACATCATCATTCCCGATTCTGGCATCGGTTGCGAGACCGCATGGATTCCGATGGCACCGGGTGATGCAGGCTAAACGGACCGAAGGGGAATATATGGTGGTGTGACAAAAGTCACGGATGTACATTCATGATACTAATACACCAGTGGACCTATTCGGTAATCTGGCTGATATGCTTAATGATATACAACTGGATATATTACGAACATAGGTATAGCATTATGGAGTTCTACATGTATGTACATACATAGCATGGCTATAGCAGCAGTGGTGGCAGCGATTGTGCCTACCTTGAACAAAAAATATCCCCTCGTATAACGAAGTCACGTAGCAACCACATAACAACCTAACTGATCTCATTGCCAACCACAGCAACCCGATGAAGCAAAAATTCGCCAATAACGCCCCGCAATTCCATGACTAGCTATAACCTAAGGCCAGATCCACCTGGAATGAGTCCGGCGTCGCCAGCGTGTCAGGCGCTGATTTGCCGATCTCAACTCCACAGGTCGGAGATTTATGTAGATGCACCCTGGTAACTGCAGTGCAAAAAGATGGTGGAGGCATTTGGGCTGGGAAATCCATCATTGGGCGCATGTATGTACAAACCATAGTCATACATTCTGTGGAAGGATCAGGAGGGGTCGTGGTAAGCTGATAGGGTTGGTCGGTGATACCTTAGGTATCTGGCCACGTTAGTTAGCGTGGAGACAATCTGGTATATTTATGCACGTTCAGTCCGAACAGGGAGTCCGATGTACCACTCCACCACGCTGGACTACCTATAAGAGTTATTACTACTGTGAGGGGTACAACCGTCCCCACCGAGCCACAGATGTAGCTATGACGACGTACAGTAACTTTACTTTTTTGGTAGCCCATCGCTGTCTCTGGCTAATCGAATACGAACTAAATGAGGTCGCGGAAGCCGGAAGGGCTGCATGCAGGCTGGAAAGAGGGTTCGTTGGTTCGTTTGGTTGGAGGTCTCGGTCCAGCCCCGGTTCAGGTACTTTGATCGTCTCTGAACCGGCGAATGGGAGATGAGAGGGGCGTGTTTGTTCTACAGCAAGTCTAACACTATCTGCAAGGTTCGTATGTATGTTTTTCGGTACGGGATTCATGGGCGCTTGATAGGCTTGTGTTGACGCCTAAGACACTGGGTCCCATTGATGTCTAGTTTGCTGACTAGGGCTCAGGGCAAGGGCTGAAGTCACGCGCACAATCATGCTCGTTTCGACTACGCGATGGATTCTTCAGCTTCTTGAAATGGGGCGGGCGAACAGACCAGAGGATGAGACAGACTACGTACACATCCCCCGAAAGGGAACCTGGATGGACTAATCAGGCGAGAGATCAAGTGCTGTGGCTTGGTTTTGTGTGGAATTCTTGATCAGGGCTGAGTATGCAGGATTCAGGTCTCCTTTGTACAGATGTGGGAATAAGTTATGGTAATCTAGGCTGGAATATGAATGCCTACGGGGCTAGAATGTGGACGGTACGTACCGTACGTACTAAAATAGATACCTATGTATGTACCAGTACATACCGTACATACATGGGATCCTCACCACTTGGCCGCCGCTTTTTGACTTTTCCAGCAGCTTCCCTTATTTATCTAGATAAGTCACACGAAAATATATCGGCCGGATGGTGTAGTTGGTTATCACGTATCGTTAACACCGATAAGGTCCTGGGATCGAGCCCCAGTCTGGTCATATCTTTTTGCATTTTATTTTTCTAGCCTCCGAGCTCTAACCAACGTTACACGGTTGGAATCGACGAAAAAGGGTCAACTTGGCTTGAAGGTGTGTTACATTGCCATTCCACTTCTTTTTTGCTTTGCCGCTACAGCCATGTCTTCAGGGATTCGTAGAGAAACTCTCCCACAACCTCAACCTCTCTTCTTCCTTATGCTCCCACATGCAAAATCCCCCGTGTCCAAAACGACTAGAAACACTTCACCGCCGTATAGGGTTCTAGCTCGGTTTCTAGAGCAAGGGCAGAGTGAAAATTCTGCTGGTGGGCCTTGGCTGTGGAGAAGCCGCTTTGACTTTGATGCAGGCAAAAGTACCGGCCTCCCGTGTGAACCTCATATTCATTTCCCCTTTGGGGGGTTGAATATTAATATTTCAAGAGGCGTTCTCCCTTGATTCAGATTCATGTCCAGTGTACTCCGTACTCCGGTGCAGACGGACTCGGAATGATGACCGTGTCGGCAGTCATTTAATATATTGTTCTAAATTAATCTTCAGGTGGCTGAGGGGGGGCTTCAATCACATCACCCATCACACCTTGGCCAGCCTATGCAATTGAACCGTTGACGCCGACCATCACAGCGGCTATGACGAGACTAGTCCTCAATCGATATTAGCATTGCCGGCGTCGCCATTTGGCCTTTATCTATCCAGGCCAGATTTTAATTTACCAGTAGTATTGTACAATATTTCCCCCGTGTAACGACATTAGTGATGCGTCTCCTTGAACTTTGAAGCCATAGCGTTTGGTGCGACGGAGAAAAGTCTATCGCACAAAAAAAGCAAATAAAATAGACCACAAAAAAATTTAGCAGGACGTCGCTTCAGTGCTTCATTCAGTTCGAATAAAAGATACGTCGAATATGACGGGCTGACGGACTGGGGTTGCCCTTTGCTATCCTGCTTTTTGTTGAGACGAAGTATGTACAATTCACATGGGTACTGTAACCGTTTATACATATCGAGTACTTTGCATGCGATGTTATGAACCAGAGTCTTGAACAAGTTTCATTTGGATTCAGATATTTTTCTCTCTGCGTAAGTACTATTCTTTCTTTTTTTCACCCCACCCCTCGACGGACTCCTTCCGTCCTTCGATGTTCAAATTGCGGTCTGTCCACTGAAGCCCGATCGCGTTGTGCACTTGCTGCCCAGCAGCGGTAAAGCCCAGCAACCGAATGTTGCCCAACAACCATTGTTTTGGTCGATCGATGGACATGGTGGGTATAATTTATGCTGTGGGTGTTTTATGACAGAAAAGGTCCCACTGAACTAAAGTCCCTCTAGGCGAGCTTGTTTATCTGGAACCAGAGATCAGGGAATGGAACCATGGGATACGGCGGGAAACATCCACGGAACAGACGATCTTAAAGCTGACCATGTAATAGCTATACACAGCATGTCCTGAACGCTTTTATTTGTTCAGTCCTCGAACTGCATTATATAATTCGATGATGTTCCAGAGCACCTTATGGAATGATTCATCCGCGGCTGTGATCTTCAGACCTGTGCTATCACATTGCCACAGCCCTAGGCAGTTGTGCGATGACGACTAAGATTACAAACGAGGCGAGGAGTATTCCAGGATGAGTCTTCGTTCAGCTGACAAGCTTCTGAATCATCATTCTTACCACTCTGAATAAGATACCTGTTATACTCTGAGCCACCGTCGTGGCAACTTAGGCACTGACTCACACCCACGCCCGTATACGCGCCCTCATAGCCAAAGTCTAGGCTCCCACTAACCATATGGATAGGAGATCAAGATGGTGTGATGGGAGACTAAACCTACAGCGGCCCGGGAATGCCTTAGGTACGAATAGCCATGGTGTATGAGTCCGACTTGGTCGACTTGCTTCTGTCGACCAATGGCACTGAATGTCTGATGGAACAGTGATGCAGTGGATTACTCAAGAAGGGGGCTCACGAAGAAGGATGACTGGATATATATGGTCCATATCGCAATTTTGACTCCTAGCTTATCGGTCGGTACCAATAGGGACCCTGGGTTCGGCTATTTTGTGCCCTATCCAGTCGACCAAGAGGGCACGACGAGGCGATGCCCAACTAATCAACACTCCAGATGACTCCTTCAGCGGTGACGAATCTGGCCGTTGTAGAGTATATAACATATCATATGTATCCGGGCGATATGATCAGCTTCGAACTTTTTTCCTGATGAACTTAACTGTGCATGGTTTCCGTATACGTAAGAAGGTTTCTTCAAATGAATATTCACATTTGCAACCCTCATAGGTGTCTTATTCTCAGCTGTGGGCTGTCGGGCCTGAAACCGACGGAGCTGAAAAGTACCCCATCGGTACCGTACGGTACTAAACCAAACCAGACGGGACCGAATGGAACCAAATTTAGCGTTGTGAAATTTTACAAGCGTCCCCACCCTTACCCGCAGTGCCCCGTTCCCGTGGACTCAGTCAACCTCCATTACAAAAACGCTTGGGGTTCGCCTGCGCGCCCTCCTTTCGCCATTTTACTACATTTATCGCCCTTCAGAAGGGTTCACTATCAACCTCCAGAAAATTAACCACCCAACCAGCAGTCGCACTACCTCCTGGGTCGACTCCTGGACTCTCACCTAGATAGAACACATAGATCTTTCAGGAACCTGCTCGAATATTGTCGGCAATCGTTTGAATTCGGTGTCTTTCGCTTCAAGGAACCGAGTTCGCCTCCCACACAGATCAGTCGCTTAACCCGTCCGACGATTGACGACGTTCAAATGCACGCTCAGTACATAACATCCTGTCCCTCCTCTCCCCTACACGCCGTGCCTCGGTGACGGTCCTCATTATCGATCTTCCGATTTCGTTGTCCTTTGCATCGGCGTCGATCGGGTTGTTCTGAACGATATCCTGTACAATATACCTGGGTTGTGCTTTTTCTTTTGATTTTTTCTTTTTTAACATTTCTTATATTCTTTTGATTTGCTTGTCTCCTTGAGCAGCTTGGTTACTTGGGACTCTAAAAAGTTGTCGGTTTTTATTACTCGTCTTTACTACCAGCATCGCGAGCCAATTTTTATGCTCAACTTCCGATAATGTATCATTATTCCACGCCACCTCCCGGGTGGTCATCCCATTATATGACTTCGCCTCCTACATCTCCTCATTACGCCTACTACGCTACTCAGGTCGCCAATCCCTACGGCTCCCCTCGACCATCGTCGAAGCGCCATAGTCGCAAAGCCAGTTATGCCGGCACCAAGGAAGCTGCAGGATGGCAATATGCCGGATACGGGACGCCTTTCTACGATGCGATGCCTGAATATAGCACGCCACCGCGCAAGCACGAGAATGTAAGTGCTTTTTTTGGTGGCTCTTCGTCCTATCATCGTCGCCGTAGCACCATGGGCAATGCCCCGGCGGACCCTTGGGATAACGCTAGTCCGCGCCCGTCGCACTCGACCCGGAAACGACCCATCTTTATAGATGTGGTCGACGATGGATTCGACGACGCGCCACGATTCGCCTTCCACGAGGAAGCTAGCCAACCCCGTCGATTCACGTCTGCAACTCCACGCAAGCCAAAGGCACCCACTGATCAATATTGTTATTCTAATCAGGTTCCTGTGTATGATGACGACTCACCGAAACGGTCCCGCGCGCGTCGCCAGTCCACCTCCACAAGGACCCCGTCCAAGCCCAAACCTACGACATCATCTAAGCCGCCTCCGAAGGCTACGGAAGAGGATGCAGCTAAGGCTGGCATCCCCGCGGGCTATTCGATCAAGAACTGGGACCCCACCGAAACCCCTATCATTCTCTTGGGCAGTGTTTTCGATGCGAACTCCCTCGGCAAGTGGATCTACGACTGGACGGTCTTCCATCACGGTGCTTCGACTCCCATGGCCGATGTTGCGGGCGAGTTGTGGTTGTTGTTGATTAAGTTGGCGGGTAAGATCAAGAGGGCCGATGAGTGTGTGGATCGGATCAAGCAGCCTGAGCACCAAGAAGTGGTGGAGGACTTTCTGGAAAGTGGTGAGCGCCTGTGGGCG